AAGAGAAGGAATTTCACTTAAGACACAAGAGAAATATGCTATAAAAATGGAATATTAAGATAATCAAGAGTCTTCTTAGCAATTAAAAAATATGAAAACAGAAGTGAAACACTAAGTAGAATGGAAGTCTTCTAGAAAGTAGAGCAAGCCATAGCTTTGTAGCTGGTATTTTGGCTTTTAAACTCTCGCTCCCCCCACCCCTGCCCCAGTCTCCACCTCCCACCCCCAGACTATTCTCAGTGCAAATGGACAAGAGCTTAAATTTTAAATCCTAATTTAGAGCCACATTAATTCCTTGCTTAAAACTCTCCAACAAACTCCCCTCACATTTAGAAGAAAATTCCCTCACTTTACCATGGCCTGTGAGGTCTTACATGGTCTGGTGTGTAGCCTTCTCACCAATGTCAACTCCAGCCATACCTGCTGTTTTTCATCTCACCAAACTTGCTTCTGCCTCAGGGCCTTTGCATTTGCTGGTTCCTCTGCTTGTAAAGCTCTTGTCTCAGATCTTTGCAGAACTGGTTTCTTAATTTCAAGTCTCCAAGAAGCCAAGTAGTCCCTGACCTCCCAACTTAAGCCACCTGCAATTTCTTTCTGCTTTATGCCAAGAATTGTTGCCTGCTGGGCCTTTATCCTGCTTTTTTTTCTCATAAAATGTATCACTATCAGAAGTTATACTAGAGGCCCGGTGCACGAATTCGTGCATGGGTGGTGTCCGACAGCCCCGCCCCGATTGGTGTGATTGGGCTGGGCCGATTGGGCCGGGCCAGCCAGGGGAAGGGGCCAAGGGCAGTCGGCTGGCCGATGCCACCCCCTGGTCAAACTCCCAGTCGAACTCTGGGTTGAGGGGACAATTTGTATATTAACCTTTTTATTATATAGGATGTTTATGGATGTGCTCTTCTTTGTTTGGTTGATTGATCCAGACTATAAACTCCACAAACACTGGAACTTTGTCTTGTTCACTGTTGAATCCCAAACTCCTACATGGTACTGGTACAGAGTAAGCATGAAATAGATATTTGTTAAATAATTAATGCAGGGTTATATTGGATGGTAAAAACAATCACGCAGCTACAATGACTGTTTTTATAGAATGCCTTGGTTTTCAGTCTGCAAGATAATAAAGGAAACATTTGTACAAAGCAAAGGAAATTTGGTTTCATTTTTTTACTCCCATAGCACCGGATGGGGGTAGCTAGCTGCAAACATAATATCTGGGCTGAACAGTGTGCTCTGAGATATTTTCTGTGAGCCCTAATGCTGTCTTAGTTCTGGCACAGCCTCGAGCAGGGAAGGGGAGCAACAATAGCACTTCTATTAGCTAAGTATGTAAATAAGCCAGCACTGTCCCTGCTTGTTACCTGCAAGCTAATAAAAATGCTTCCACAGAGACACACCAAGAGAGAAGCATTCTCAGTTCCAAGTGAGCTAAGTTTTCCAGTTCTTGACCTGTGGCTCAGAGGGAATTCTTTGAAGAAAGAAGAGACCGAAAGTGTTGATCTCCCTTTTCACAGATGGGCAGGTTTGTCTGAGCTCCAAGCCCTAAGGACAAGGAGGAGGATGGATCTTCTTTAAACCATGAGTTTTTTCTGAGAAGAGCATTTAAGCTGTCAAGTCCCATGGAATATTTCCATTGTAATAAGGAGTGTGGAGAGAACAATGACAAGAAATCTAGTGGTAGTCCAAATATCTCATCTTATCACAAACAATAGTCTCATTCCCCCAAAATGCCATTTTCCCAAGGAAGAATTTGGCAGTTGCTTCAGCATGACAGTGCAGGGTTGATGACTGGAGCCTACAACCCAATAACAGAGGGAATCCAGAGTCAGGGGCACAGAGTTGAGAAGGCAGCAAGACTATGGGGTGGATGGAGGCTGCATACTAACTCCTGAGGATGTTTTATCTGAAGACCCTCCTAGGCATCTTAAAGTTATTAAAAAATATCTGGAGGTTCACCTAGAATGAGGTATGGTTTATTTTACAAAGTGCCATTTTAAGAGTTTGACATTTTTTTTTCTTGGTAGAGTCTAAAAGTAAAAACACCAAAATTCAAATGCCTACCCTAATTCAAGAATTTTATGTTTCTGTGTATGCCCAGATAAAGATGACCTTCTTTGTCCCGTATTTTTTCAATACTATTAAAAAACAAAATGTACTCATTACGTTGTTTACTATTTACTGCTGGTCAAACTGTTCTTCCTTGAAATTCATGGAAAACTCTGGCCAACACATTTCCTAAACAAAAGGTCAAATAGCTATCAGGATAGTTTAATGCCTCTTACTGAGAACTGTTGTACCCTGGGTTTCTGCAAGCCTACTCTCAACAAATCATCTATTAATTTTAGCTTTCTAGTACTAGCATTTCAGAGAGCCCAATTGTGAAACAGAGGTACTCACTTCTCTACTCTCCACAGCCTCAGAACTCCCATGTTGTGACCAATTTGGGGTCTTTTCTAACTAATGATGTTTGGAAGCCGACAGCTCTATTGGCTCCATCTGCCCTACCTGTTTATTTTAGCTGTAAGGTCAAGGGCAAAATCCCAAAAACTTTGTGCTTAGATAGAACTCAGATGACAAGGGAGCCAAAAGGTAGAGTCCTTGTCCTCAAACACTCCTCTGCACATTAGTAGATTTAGATGGAATAAAGTAAAGACCGGATCGAGTAGTTTCATCTTTATATCATTCAGAGGTTTCCCTTCCAATCCTTAACCTTGTCTCTTTAAATACAAAGGTGGAAGAGACCCACGATGCTTACAGAATAGCACAGTCTACTAACCTCATACTCTGAAATAAAAAAAAAGCTTGGTTTTAAATGGTGGGCTGACTATATACTAGACCAGTGACCCTCAGAAACAATATTACTACCCAACTCACTGGGTTATGAAGATTAAATAAAATCATGCTTTTAAACTACTCAATATAGTACACAGACACTTGATTAACTAGAATTAATGATGTAGTATATTACTATAATTCATGTCATAAAATCAAGAAAAAACATTTAAGCAATTCATATTCATAAAAAGAAAAACTTGCCTATTATAAAGAGGATTCGCCTTAAGTTCAGGTTTAAAAATATTTCCTCATAGATGTGATAGAGAGTAAACTGGAATTGTTCAGATTAAATTTTTATTAAAGTACTAATATGCTGGAGAACATTGATGTCCTGTTCATGTAGTTTGACAATATAACCTTTGTTGAAAACATGAGGATTATGTGGAAGACAAAATGTTGTCGAAGTGAGCTGTTACTGCCATTCTAGGTGCCCGGGTAGGTAGGAATAGAACTCTTTCACCAGTGACTGAAATTGGATGGAAGTTTATTTTTATCTCACTTAGGAGAAGTGTGGAGACAGCTTGTCCAATGTTGGTATGGACACCCCAGAGTTATCATGGGCCCATTGTCCTTCCAGCTCTCTGGTCCACCATCCCCATGGTGCAAGCCTTGTATCCATTGTCCAAAATGGCTGCATTCTAAACAATAGGATTGTAAAAGGAAAAGAGAAAGGCACTCCCTCCTTTTTAGGGAAGTTTCATATTTTCATAAATTTCCTCCTAGGTTTTATTGGCATGGTCCTCTTAGCTGCAAGGGAGCCTGTGAAATATAGTTATTACTCTGAGGTAATAATTTGGTTCTCCTACTAAGAAAAAAGAGGGTACTGGGGAGAGGAAGTAAGCTAAATTTACTAGCTATACTACATTCATTCTTCTTCTCTAAAATATTCTTTAATCTCTTTCCCTTCCTGGTTCCTCTTTCTCTTGTTTCTCAATGGCCATTCTACTTTTTTCTATAGAGCCTGTCCTTTCAATTTTTCATCCACTCCAAAGACTTCAACTGCTGAGTTTATGTGAGGAGAAGAAGGCAGGTGCCCAATCTAATCCCCTTGTAAACCTGTTGATCACTGATCTGGAATAGACTAATGAAATTATATGAAGAGTTCTTATTGGTGAAATCCTCTTAGCAGAATATCCCTCTTTCAGGATTACTGATGTTAAATAAAACTAGAATCTGTGGATTTATGACTCATGACCTCTAAAAAATGTCACAAAATCCCTGTGATGATCTGTGTAAAAAAACACAAGTGGCTAAGGAACTTACATGCATACTAGAGGCCCAATGCACGAAATTCGTACAAGAGTAGGCCTTCCTTCCCCCAGCTGTTGGCACCCAGGACCAGGGCTGAAAAGTCAAAAGAAGTTTGGTTGTCACATCTAAAAAGTTCCTATTTAATACAGCCAACTGCTGTTTAGCATTCTTAATGGAAAGGTGAACATATTGACAGCAAATGATATAATTTTATTACTTTTAGTGTAAAAACTAACTTTCCTGATTTAATAATGCAATATGTGATTTAATAAAAAGTAAGGATTGCCTTCCAAGGCATATTGGATTTAGGCTAGCATTTTAATTAGTTTCTTTTCTCTCCGAGAGTATTCTGATTAAACGGTAAATATGCTGGATGATGAATGGAAAAATAATAGCTTTTTAGAATGTATCTTCCAGAGAAATAAAATGACTATAAATAATAAACTTTGCTACAAAAAATTAAGAGTTGACTATTTTGGAGGGGGAGATGCACAACACAGGTTTCACTTAAATAGCATTATAAATGTGTTGCTCTAGAATTATTTAAGAAGAAAAGGACAAGTCCATTCTATAGCTATACACCCTCATGAAAATAAAAAACAGACTGAGAAACAAATACCACATTGCCCAGATTCATGCTGGCTGGGGAACAGGCATAGGAAGATGGTCAGCACTTCCATGATCATAAAGATGCTTTTATTCTAAAACCCTGAGCTTGTCTTCTGACTGGAAACCGATCTACCATGTCCTTTTATACTTCCGCCACCAGCTTTCACTGCCTTATTGTACCAACTTATTAAGAACATGATGCATACAGCACTGCTGAGAGGTGTAAGGGAAGAATTTATACAAAGGAGAGCGAAAGGGGAAGGTGGTGAGGTTTCTAGATACATAAGTCGAGCTTACCAGGCACATTACACACAGTTATTAGTCTCGCTTTTGATTAGTTGTGTGGTTGAAAGAGTTTTTCCACATATTATCTCATTGGCTATTCACAACCACCTCCTCAGTAGCTACCTTCATCCCCTGCAAGAGGCTTTACCCAGGGTCACAGAGGCGACAAAGCCAAGGCTGGATCAGATCTTTTGGTTCAAAAACTCCACATTCCAATATTCAAAACACTGAACTAAGGAGGTGATTGGGAAGTGGGACAAGCGCTCAGGGAGCCCGTAGAATCACTGAAGCTCATTGTTAGCTGACCCTCCCCCACCACCATTTGTATGTCCCTTTCTTTCCTAGGTACCCAGGGCCCTACCACTGAGCTTCATCACCTGCCACTGGATTGCATGACTTCATGTGCACTGAGGAATGGAAATGTGATGGGTTATGCCTCCAGAAAGTGCCTCCATTTTAAAAAGAGCATCAAGCTTTAATCCAAAGGAATAATGCCGATGATGGGATTCAGGCACCAGGGACAAAGACATCTTGCCCTTAAATCGTACCAGTAAGGGTGAAAGCTGGTGTGAATGAAAAAAATGGCTGACAGCCACATTCATGAGGTGTGTGTCTCCTTTCAAAGAGTCTATGCGTCACAAGCATGGAGACATGAGAAGGACGTAAGGAGAAGTCTAACTGGTCCAAATCAGAATAACTGAGAGGTGGAAGCAGTATCACCCTAAGACCAAGAGACCCTGAACCCCTTCCCTGAGCCCCCCACACTTTCAGGGGTCCTCTGCCTGGACCCCTCCCATTGAGGGAGAGAAGGCCATGGATCCAAGGGGACATACCCATCCTGAGTCTAGCTGTTCCCCTCTTGACTTGCTCCAGGTACCCAGACCTCATGATTCCCTGTCCCCATAGTCTCCGGGGTCTCCGTGGCCTCTTCCCAGGATCCATCCTTATAATCATGAGCTTCACTACATATGGGCCCTGAGCCTGAGGCGCCGCCATGGGGCAACATGGGGCAAGAGGATCTGGATAGAACTTGCCATGTATACTGCAGTCCCGTGTGCATGCCTGTAAGGCTCCTCACAGTGAGTGTGGGGACCAGGAGTGAGAAGGGCTGAGGACAGAACTGGGAGGCTGTCTGTAGTCTTACTCCAACCGCACAAACATCAGGAGTGAAGTCAAGCCTAAAAATAGTTGTAGAAATGGGTTACATCAGTGTCTGATGAGTCGCCGAGATTGTCCAGAGAGACCCTCACCCCACAAACACATGTACCAGTATAGATGCCTACTCAGGTCCCCTCTGCAGCCGCCTTACACCAGGCTGTCCATGCTCAAATGTTTTCTTGGTTTAATCCCTACTCCTTTGGGGCCATTCAGTGGCATCAACATATACGGGTTTTACCAGTGCCTCCTCTTTGCACAAATGAGACGTTCAGTGAACGTCAGCCACTGGTGATGGTGTCTCATCACACGAGTGTTAGAAAATCTGAGCCCCTGGGACACCATGCTCACATAGTCGTCCATGTACTCGGCCCTCTGCGGCAGACCAAGAGTTCTTGGGGTTGACGGTGTGCATCGAAGTACACGGGCCAGTGTCCCAAAGGCCCGTTTACACGTTTAAAGGCCCTCGGGTTACTTCAGCCTGATGCAGTCCACCTCTTCGGTGGCAGGCACCCCCGTGGTTTTGAGATCGAGGTCCGCGCTGGACTTGCTGCCGTTGGAGGACGACTTCCAGTGCAGCTGCACGATCCTCTTGAGGTACTTGATGGTGTTGTTCTTGACCGTCACGAAGCACAGGGTGTTGATCATGCTGTTGCTCATGGCGATGCACTCGACGATGTAGAAGGCCGTGAGGTAGTGCTTCTCCTTCACGAACACGGCGGGGAAGAAGTCGCGCACCACGGTGAAGCCGTAGAAGGGGGCCCAGCACAGCACGTAGGCGGTGAGGATGCCCATGAGCACCAGCACCGTCTTCCGGCGGCAGCGCAGGCGCTTCCGGATCTGCTCCGTCTGGAAACCGGGCACGGCCTTGAACCAGAGTTCCCGCGAGATGCGGGCGTAGCACAGCGTCATGACGGCCACGGGGCCCACGAACTCCAGGCCGAGGATGAAGAGGAAGTAGGACTTGTAGTAGAGCTGCTGGTCCACCGGCCAGATCTGGCCGCAGAAGATCTTCTTCTGGTTCTTGACGATGATGAGAACCGTTTCCGTGGTGAAGTAGGCGGAGGGGATGGCGATGAGGACGGACACCGCCCACACCAGGGCGATCCAGCCCGTGGCTGTCTGATACTTCATCCGGGGCCGCAGCGGGTGGACGATGACCAGGTATCTAGGACAAGAACGCAAACAGGTCAGCCGCTGTGCCAAGAAAGTGCCCGATGACGAGATCTTGACCACCGAATGGGGTATGTGGAGGGGAAACAAAATGGTATAGGGGCTTTCCAGAGAGGCAGGCTTGAATTCGGACCCCCGTTCCACCCCTTACCAGCTGTTGTAACTGCAAGCAAGTTTTGTTTCATCTCTCTGAATCGCAGTTTCCTTATCTGCAAATGTTTTTGTTTTTAAGGATGAAATATGCTAATGTATACACAATTCCTGGCATATACTCAATAAATGGTAACTATTACTATTAAATGTAGTAATAACGCCTCCCATCCGTTTCTAGCCTGGCATGATTCCCAGGTCCTTCCTGTCTTCAGGATCATTCATTCTAATTAACCCAGAGTTTAGAGCTAAAAGGGCCTGATAGATCCAAAGACTTATTGGGAGAACTTGCTCCTTCCAGTGGAAGCAGTGGGCAAAGTTGTGTCTTCATTCCACATTTTTAAACCATTGGCTCTTCATGCAAAGGGGAAGGAATACATGTGATCATTTGTTTTACTTTCCAGGTGGAAAAATAGAGGCCAGAGAGAGATGAGTGGCTTTCTCAAAGTCATATACTGTAGGACCCTTGGTAGAAAACATTTAACCCTATCTGACATGATGGATGAGAAAATCAATTGAAAATATACATGAATGTATCTTTTTTTAACCACAAAGCACCAGATAGAAAAAGATATTGCTTTTGTTCTCTCCCCCCGCAACCACCCCCCGCCCCCCCCCCCCCCCCCTGTTGTTACCACAGAGGTCCAGGAGCAAAGACAGAGCACTTTCTGGGGGTTGTGAGTCATTTGTGCTGCATGAAAGCCTCCTTCCCAGGGTGAGTGCACATACTTATGCAGGAGCTTTGATTTCCTGGAAGGCTTTCCGATCTCGCAGGGGATGGACATTGGAGGAGAGAAAGATAGGAAGTGAAGTGGGAGGGAATGACTAATCAACATTGGAAATAAACACATCCTCACTTGCCTACAGCTTATTCCAGGTAGAGCCAAGAACAAATGTGACAGGGGCCGGGAAGAAAGCCAAACCAATTCTGTTTTTTGAAACCAATCTTTTTGAGTTCATCTTTCTTGGAAATTTGATCGGAAGAGGAGGTTCATTCTTATTTTTTTCTTCTGATTATAATACTGCTGTTTCTGTCCTACGCCCCCCAACCCAAGTAGCCAGCTCTGTGGAGTGTGTCATTTGGAGAGTTAACTGGAGTGAGACTCCTGCTGTCTTATGGCTTCCAGATATTAGATGAAGTTGGAAAGGTTGAGTCCACCCTCTGGACACCCAGCTGTCTGCTTGACATGCTCCACCACCAGCAACAATCGTTGGCACTCTCACCAACCTCCTAGTGCTGAAGGGTGAAATGCAGTGTCTGCAGGGTGTTGGCAGTGCTTTTGTCAGTAAACATGTATGGGTCCTTCCCAAAAGCCATGGCGCTCCTACAATGAGTGCACCGAACTTGCTCTGACTCATAGCAAAAACTAGGAACTTAGTGTTTTTGCTCTCACTAGCTCTCTCCCTCTCTGTCTACACCACCATGTTTCATTGATTACTTTGTCAAAGAATATTTCTATATTCATACATGTGTAGTATATGAATTTTCACTATATAATTCTATTCCTTCTTTTCCCAATAGTAACTTCCTACATCTTTATAATGTTTCAAAGCCAAAGTGTTTTTTCAATAAGTAGGAGAGAATGCTGATCTAGGAGTCAGAAGACCAAGAATCTAGTCCCAGCTTTGCCACAAACTTGTTATGTGAATTTGAGCCATTTTTCTTAGCCCTGTGGGCTCAATTTCCTCATCTGTAGCATAGGGATATTACCTGCCTCAACAACCTCACAGAGAAACTGTAAGATCCAAACAAGCACTGCATATAAACAACAATAAGCTATTAATACACAAGGCACTATTAGCATCCTAGAATGTATTTTTTCAGAGCTATTCTGTATACATAGCAATTTTCTTTCACCTGTTTTTGCCAAATACTGCATGTGAAAGTTCTCTACTACTTTCCATTTTATTGGATACTAGAGGCCCAGTGCACAAAAATTTGTGCACTGGGGGGGGGGGAGGGAGGGAGGGTCCCTCAGCCCGGCCTGTGCCCTCTCGCAGTCTGCCCTCGGGGGATGACCACCTGCTGGCTTAGGCCTGCTCCCCGGGGGATTGGGCCTAAGCTGGCAATCAGACATCCCTCTGGCAGGCTGGCAGCCCTCGGGGGATGTCCACTTGCCAGTGGGGAGCAGGCCTAAGCTGCAGTCAGACATCCTTAGCGCTGCTGAGGAGGCAGGAGAGGCTCCCACCACCACTGCTGTACTGGCAGCCATCAGCCTGGCTTGTGGTTGAGCAGAGCTCCCCCATGTGGGAGCGCATTGACCACTAGAGGGCAGCTCCTGTCTTGAGCGTCTGCCCCCTGGTGGTCAGTGTGTGTCATAGTGACCAGTCATTCCCAGTCTTTCTGCTGTTAGGGTCAGTTTGCATATTACTCTTTTACTATATAGGATGGAGGCCTGGTGAATGGGTGGGGGCAGGCTGGTTTGCCCTGAAGGGTGTCCCGGATCAGGGTGGGGGTCTCGCTGGGGTGCCTGGCCAGCCTAGGTGAGGGGCTGATGGCTGTTTGCAGCTGGACACACCCCCTTCAGGGTAGGGGTCCCGCTTGGGTGCCTGGCCAGCCTGGGTGAGGGGCTGATGGCTGTTTGCAGCTGGTCACACCCCCTTCAGGGTGGGGGTCCCCACTGGGGTGCCTGGCCAGCCTGGATGAGGGGCTGATGGCTGTTTTCAGGCTGGCCACACCCCCTTCAGGGTGGGAGTCCCCACTGGGGTGCCTGGCCAGTCTGGGTGAGAGGCTGAAGGCCGTTTTCAGGCTGGCCTGCGACTGAAGCTCCCAGCCTCTCCTTTTTTTCTTTTTCTTTTTTTATTCTGGGATTTATTTACCTTCTATAATTGAAACTCTGTTGCCGTCACTGACGCTCCCAGCTCTGTGGCCGCGGCTGGCTGAAAGAAGGTATCTGGGGTTTGTTTAGCTTCTATAATTGAAACTTTGTTGCTTTCGGAGCTGTTGCTTTTGGAGCTTAGAGCTGGGCCGCGGCAGGCGGGGAACCTTGGCTTCCTCCATCACTGGAGCAAGCAAAACCTCCTGCTCACTTCAGCTGCGTGGCTGCCGGCCGCCATCTTTGTTGGCAGTTAATTTGCATATCTCGCTGATTAGCCAATGGGAAACGTAGCAGAGGTATGGTCAATTACCCTTTTTGTCTTTTATTAGATAGGATATTTTACTGATTCTACTTATTTTCATATCAAAACTAACCTTCAGGTAATCTGTGACAACCCATCTGATAGTTTTTTTCATCCTGGCTTTCTCTGACATCACCCTAACTCTCTCCACAGTCTTAGTTCCAGGAATTGAGCAAGAGGCCGTCCAAATACATTTACCAATAAGCAAATTGCAGAAACTGCTTTAAGGATTGCCACCAGTCTTGGGTATGCTAGGATCAAAACTCAGAACTCTACTTGCTTTTACAATTTACAGAACATTTTCAAATCCACTTTCTCAGTAGAGTAGGTAAGAGAGCAAAAATATCCACTTTACAGATAAGCAGACTAAGATTTGGAGAGGCTAAATAACCTGCCAAAAGCCACACAGCTGGAAATTGACGGGACCATGATGCAGACCCATCCATCTCTTGCTCCAAATGCAGTGGGTTCTCAAATACGCCATTTGTCCCCACCCTTTTCAACCAAAGCAAGCAATATCCCTTCGTCCTACCCTTCTCCTGACATCAAATAGTCCTTCTCTTTTCTCTCCATCACAATTGGTTTTTACTTATTGATGTTCCAAGGAGTCAAGCAATTGGTAGCTTATGAGTATGCCCTTGGCTTGCCCTGTGTGTCTACCACTACACTGGCTCAGGTCCAGATCCACTTTGCACCAACAAAGAATGAAGGCTGATAGACAAAGAAATGTCCAGGCAGTAATTGTCTGGTGATAGTGGGCTGGGTGATTAAACAAAGAGCATTTGGGCTCCCTCTCTGTTCCCAGGACCCAGCCCCAGATCAAACCATGGAAGTGGAGGTTGCAGTAGTTACTAGGCCAGTCATGGGATGGGCAGGGATTGCATGACTTACTCCTTGGGCCAGCCAGCTCTGACCAATAATCTCACCGGGTAGCATTTGTAGGACCTGGGACTGAGAATGATTACTCATGCCTTAGCTGGCCTCATTCAGACAGAAGAGGAGAGCTGACAATGGCAGGCAGACTGGTCAGTTTCCCCTGGATTTGGGGTAAAAGAAGGAAGGGTCCCACAATGCCCCACATGCTATGGGATCTGAAGGATACACCTCCAGGACACTACAGGTGTCTCCACATCAAAGAAACCAAGATCTGGAGGGCCAGGGGTCCTCTGATGACCTTTTTCAGTTTCCTGCTGCCATCAGATCTGACTCCCTGTGTCTAGATTTTGAGATCTTCTGGAATAGGACCTTATCCTTGACTTTCCAAATGTTCCTTGCCTCTGCCCTACATCCTCTGCAAGGGACCTCATGCCTCAAGCCTTCCCACTTCTAGGCTGTTGTAAACACTGTTCCTCTTGGAAAACCTCTCCTCTACTTTGCGGATCACCATTTGTTGAAAGCCAGTTAAAAAGTCCCCCTCTTCCATGAAACCTCCTTTAACTCCACAGATACACGATGATCTCACCCTTCTGTAAATTTCTTTTAAAATTTATTCTTTATCCTTTAACTGTTTCAGAAGTGTCACCTCACTCCCCACCCACCTCTCCCACTTTAGGTGGTGAGCTCCAGAGAGCAGGGACCATGTCTTACTTCTTTTATAAGCTTTTGCTGTCTGTGAATTATGGGCACCTAGGATTTTAGTGAAACTTCACTCTCAATAGTTCCTGGCACCAAGCAAATAGAAATGTAGTCAACCATGGCGGCAACCCTCAAAAATATTGTAACCTTATTTGGAAAAAAGGACATAAGTGTGTTTACCCAGCATGAGACCGGGAGACAGCCTTGGGCTCAATAATGGAAGGTTTCAAGAGCAGGCGAAGGAGTTTGAGGCATATGTTGTAGACAATGAGTTCTTTGAGGTCTTTAGAGCCAGAGAGGGGAGACATACAAGACAGAAGATTAATTTGGCTGCAGTCTTGCTTTATTCCCTCAGGCCACAGGGGCCTTCTCTTTGTTCTTAGAACCCATCAGGTTTGTTCCTGTTCAGGGCCTTTGCACTTATTATTCCCTTTATCTGGGATGCTTTTTTATCAGTCTTCACAGGGCTGGCTTTTTTTTTTTCCTCCGCCATCTTTCAGAGGTAGGTTCAAAAGTCTTCCCCTTAGACACACTTTTCCTGACTCTACACCTGGTGTCTCCCACCCTCGGTCACTCTCAATGTTTTAGTGTTTGTTTTTGTTCAGAGTATTTCTCATGCTCTCAAAATGCCTTTCTTGTTTGTGTGCCTTACTGCTAACTCTCTCCATCCCATGGATGTAAGTTCCATGAGGGCAAAGAATTTTTTTTCTTATTCATCATATCCCCAATGCTTAGAATAGTATCTGTCACATGCAGTCGTTCTACAAAAATGCATTGTTTGAATGAATGAATGAATGAATGAATGTTTAGGGAGGATTATGAGGGGAGTAGGTTGGCAGAGAGCAGAGCCAAGAAACATGGAAGGCCAAGAGGAGACTATGATTGTCCGGCCCTGAGTGAATAGGTGGGAGGGAGGGGTAAGTATTGGCAGGACCTGGAAATGAAACGAATGCTGGAGAAAGGGAGAGAGTGGCCAGGACAGAGGAGACTTGCTAGTTTAGATGCCTGGAAAACCAAGGAACCAATAACAGAAACAAAGAAGTCCAGGCAGGTAGAAGAGTAACCGTTCTGTTCTGCTATATCTTGATAGCAGTGTTTCTTAGAAACCTTGTATTATTATCTTTTAAATCACATCATTAAAACAATCACTTCAATGAAAACAAAGAGGTTAACCAATCAAAAATATTCATTCATTTATCTGTGTGTGTGTTTTTGTTGTTATTCCTTTAAGGGTTAACTCAAGAACTATAATATTCTGTTTTAAACATTGTTCAAACAATTACATATATTATATAATTTAATCCTCAAGGCAACCCAATACATTAGGTTTTCGTATTATTCCCATTTTATACATGAGAAAACTGAGGAAGAGTAAGGTCATAATTAATATAAGGTTAATAGGTGGTACCACAGGAATTTAAACCCAGGCAGAATAACTGCTAACATTATTTTCCTATAGAAATTTCATTTTTAAAATGTACTTTTATAACCGTAGGTATATTGTTATATCAAGATAAAAATTAGTTGTCCAAAACTAAACAAATCAAACCTGAAAATCTGATCAAATCCTGAACAACACATGAGACCAGACAATAATCAATGAAGTCTTCGACTAAATTGAAATTAGATAGTAACGACACATGAAAATAAAAATGATTTGAAGCAAAGATTACAAACATCAATAAAAGAACTTAATGTTCTGGCACAGCTAGTTAGTTGGCCAAGGCCGTTGGATGGCCCTGTGCAGGCAAACAATGCTTTCCTCCAATGTCTGGGTGCAAGTTTTCACTCACGACTCCATTCTGAACAACAGCAGTCTCTATGATGCTGTGCAGGTTCCACGATTAATCTTTCTTATTGTATTTAAATTGCATTATATAAACTCACACGGCCAGGGAAATGCCTGCAGTATTTCAGACAGGCAGAGTTTAGTATGAAAGTAGGATAAGGACTTGTAGGAGTTCAGTAGATCAACATAGATCTCTCCTCTTATATGTTCAAAATAACCCAATTCCCATGAATTTGTCCTTGTCCTTGAAGCCACTCCCCACTACAGTGTTACACCTTTCGACAAGTGGACCCCCACATGGTGAAATGGATTTCACCCAGACAGCAGGTCACACACACACACACACACACACACACACCGCTGTTAGTGGCTGAGAACACCCCTTGTGAAAGATGTCTAGCTAGAATGAAACTTCAGGAAATGACCCTGTATGCTTTGTCCTGTTGATGTACTAAGAGAGGTGGTGGTAGCTTCTACTTGTAGAAAAGGTCAAAGATAAGGTCCCTGGAGCTTTCTTCGACAGCTATGAAGGGGACTTAAGGGGCAGATACCCAGCTTGATTTCTCCCTCCTGCTCCTTCTGTAGGTCCACTCAGGGTCCATCTCTGGATGGACAATATACTGTGGGGCTCTGTGACTCATGTGGAAGACCTTGGCCAAGAAGTAGCCCTCTGCAGGGATGACCCTCTAAGCACCTTCTATGGGTGCGGACCAAGGGCTATTTAAACTTCTAACTCCCTGACATCATCCTTCCCAAGGCTCCACCCCTCCGTGGCTTTAAAGCCTGGTTCCCTTTAACCCCCTTTTCTCAGGAGTGGTCTCTTTCCAGGTCACTGTATCCCTGCTTGTCCTGCCTATGGCTCCAGAAAACAGGCTCTATTTGCTGTGCTGCCTCCTGGAACATTGTTCTGACTATGAGAGACAGGCTGAACTCCACCAGAGCCCCGAGGCCATGGAACAGGGAGAACATGTGTGCTTCAGGCTTTCTGGGTTAAGGGAGAGAGACGGGCTGTTCAGATTCAAGTACACGGAGGCCTGATTTGACCCTCAAGGTAACTGTCTCTACACTGTAACAAGGTGTTTTGTAATTAGAGTCCAGCTTTCGGCAGAGGAGCTTGCAAAGGTCCTGAGGGAACCAGAAACCACCCTGGTCATTAGCATAGGTGATTATACTAAATGAAAAGACTAAGCATAACATCAGAGAGATTTGCACTGATCTCACTGATTTTATTTACCTTCACTAGAAATAGGTCTTCTATGCTGCTGCATGCAAATGTATGAAGAGGGGCAAACAGACTAATGCAACAACTAAGAATAAATAAGCATATGTTTTCTTTTGGGTTTTTTTTTTAGTTAGTTTGTTTGTTTTTCAAAACAAATCCCTCAATCTTATTGTAAAATCAACTGGTGCTGGTGGGGCTGGATAGTTCATGTTTCAGTAGAGTAAGTCTTAATAAGACAAACCTCCGTCAAGATTTCCAAGTTGACTCAAGAGTTACCTGCCTAGCGTTTAACCTTGTCCCTCCACACCTACTACCTGTCTCTCTCTAGACCAGCCGTGGGCAAACTACGGCCCGTTTGAAATGAATAAAACTAAAAAAAAAAAAAGACCGTACCCTTTTATGTAATGATGTTTACTTTGAATTTATATTAGTTCACACAAACACTCCATCCATGCTTTTGTTCCGGCCCTCCAGTCCAGTTTAAGAACCCATTGTAGCCCTCGAGTCAAAAAGTTTGCCCACCCCTGCTCTAGACCTTGAACAGATACAACATCAGGGAGCATAACCATTGCAGAGGGATCCAAAGCCTTCCCACTGCCCAACTCATTGGGGCTCTGCTACCTCCTGCCTGCCCAAAGCTGGAAATCTAGAACCCTTCTCACTGTCAGTCAATGAGCTACACTTGATCTTAGCAAAAAGGCCAAGAAGCCATGGGGCCAACTTTTGAGCCCTTATATATCCACATCTATGGTGAATACAGATATCTCTCATTAATTATAATTGCGACTAACAGTTCCAATGCCCCTTCCTTCGTTGTCCCCACCGTCCCCTTACTCACCTGTCGATGGCGATAGCCAGCAAAGCATTGGTGGAGACGTAGAGAGAGACAGTACGCAGGTAGTTGACGGAGGCGCACAGGATGTGGCCATGCTCCCAGGAGAGCTGGCGCACCACGTAGTAGTCCATCTCAAAGGGGCAGCAGACAATGGCCACCAGGAAATCAGAGATGGCCAAGTTGGCAATGAGTAGGTTGGTGAGGTTGCGGAGCTTTTTGTAGCGGGCCAGGGCAGCAATGAAGATGAAGTTGCCAATGCCGCAGACCAGCATGATGCCCACCAGGGCCATGCCAATGACAATCTTGGCAGCAAAAAAAGTCAGAGAATCGGTTACATCCTCATCTTCATCCAAGGGCATATCATAGTCGCCATAGCTGAAGTTAAATGGGAAGGAAGCAGCCTGGGCTCCGTGGGGGTCAAGCATGGAAAGGAAGCCAGTGGAGATGTTGGTGGCATTCTCATCCATGACTCCCAGGGTGATCTCCATTTGGCCAGGTGATGCCTGGAGCAACACAGCTGGGAATTCCTCTGGGATGAGGCCTGGGAAGCCGGTGTCTTCTCTCTCTGCTGACACTCGGTTCTGTCTTAATGAGTCAGAGTGTCCCTGCCAGCATCTTTGGGGTTCAGCTCCATCCTAAGCCTTTAAAGGACATAAAAAATAGTTGGCTATACAGCTGAGTGAATCTGGCCAAATTTAAAACCATCCTGTAACCTAAGCAGATCCATTAGCCACCTGCTCAGAGTGAACATTGGGTGATGGAGTGGAAATAAAAAAATAAAACAGTGAGAGAAAAGAAATTTATCAACCACATACCCATTCATTCAGGGAAGATTGGATTGCTGTAGAGACCATCAGCACTGCCTCTGTTTATTTCCCTTCCACTGAAGACTCTGAACTGTTACACTTTTTCTCAGGGACCAAAGTTGGGAGGCTGAAGAGAAGGAAAGTGACCTGCTCCAAACTCCATTTCCTGTCCTGACAGCCTGGACTTTGTCCTTGTGGAATTGTCCCATTCTGTTGCTTAAAAGAAGTGATTCCGAATACAATCGAAGACAGAGGGCTTTGAGACAACCCTGTCTGCTCTCCAGGAGTTGGTCTCTCTCCTTCTGGCAAAACATTGCTCTAAAATCACAGAGCCTCCTAGCAGCCACCCTCCCCACTCCTCACTGGGCTTGCTGTCCAACATACAAGTCTGCGGTGACCCTACAAGCCACCCACAGTCTTTACCAAGGCTCGACCCCAGGCAGAGGCCATAGGGAAAAAGTCACAGCCTAAGCGCTGAATGGCTTAGGAAGGGGGCTCTGGAGCAAAATGCTTTCCGTGGCTGGTGTGTGTCCTGAGGCAAATAGCTTAAACACTCAGAGTTTCAGCATCCTCCAGGCAGGAGATCAATAATGTCTGTAAAGCAAGGAGGTCCTTGGAGAAGGAGGGTGTTACACCCTAGAACTACAAGGAATGACTATCGAGTGCTCAGGCCTCCCAGTCAGCTGCAAAGAAGGGGAGGGAAATCCTAACCTGGATGACCCCATCACACCACATAACAGGGCTGAGATGGGAGAGGGAGAGGGGAGAGGGGAGGGGCTGTCCTCTGCGCTGCTGGGGACAGAGAACAACAGGAAGTCCCCTGTCCCCGGCCCTCTCCCCTAGTCCCAGTCCTTCACAGGCTTGAAAACATCAGACCAGGTTGCTGGGGTGTAAAGGGAGGGCTGGGGCCTGGGGAGCCCTGGAAATGTCAGGAAAGCCAGAGAGAAGATATGGAAAACCTGAGGTTCCTGGAAAAGGGAGACCCTTCGGACCCCAGGAAAGCCTGCTGCCCAATTCCTCAAAGATGAGACATCTGAGCTTGTCTTTAGGGGAACCAGGGTTAAAGTTCCTCTGTATCCCCAATTAAGTTTAGCCCCATTCTTGCCTCTCTCCCCAGTTCCTTCCCCCCCACTCTCCGCCCCCCCCCCCCCACGTTTCTCAGGGGGTTTTTTTTCCTTCCTCTGAGCCTTCAGTCCTGTCCCTCAGGCCTTGCCCTCTGGCCCTGTCAGGTGTGAGGAGCTGAAAGGTCCCAGGGACCAGGCTCGTAGCCCAGACAAGTACGGCTGCAATCCAGGTGGGATTCTCCATACCCCTTGCAGACCCTGTGTCTTGGAGGCGTGCCACCTCTGAGGGTAGGGTACCCCAAATGCATGTCAGCCAGAAGGCTCAAAGGCAGGTTTTTAAAACTTCTTGTGGGGCAGGGT